CTTTTACACTGCATGGCTCCAGCAACAGGTGCTGAGGCATATAACTGAGGCTGATCCGTGTAAGAGTAGAGAGTCCACAGGGGCACCCTGATACGGCTACCTGTCCCCATGTAGTATGGAAGAGTGTACTTCCTTGCTGTGGTGGTAATTGCATGCTGTCTGCAGTGGATGACAGTCCATGTGACGAAGGACAAGCTGAGAGGGGAGTGTTCTTGGTCACAATTCTATGGTGACCGTCTTCTCTATTTAGCATTTTTGAGAGTCAGGCCTGCTTGATGACTGGGATGTCCCCCAACCAGTTGATGAACTAGGGAACATATACCAGTCCCTGAAAGGAGCTGTGGTGTCAGTTGCATGGGTGAGTGTTAAGATGTGCAACTGGGGTACAACTATCATTAGAGAAAAGAAATGACCACATAAAGGGGAATTACAACAAGAAAAAGATATACTATCCTCCACATTAGCCTCAGATTTATAAAGTGGGAAAAGGAAGGATGAGATGAAAGTGTTGGCTTACTATGTTTTTATACTCTGTTTGTTTGCTTGCATGCTTGCTTGAGTCAAGGTCTCATGTGGCTCAGGCTGGCCTTGAACTTCTGATCCTCATGTCTTTACACCCCTAGTAATAAATTTAAAGGCAAATGCCACAGAGCCCAGTATGCAGTGCTGGGATCAAACCCAGAGCTTTTTGTGCATGCTAGGTACTCTACCAGTTGAAATGAAGCTACACTTAGCCCCAGCCCCAGCTCCAACCTCGGATTACTGTTTCTTAGAGCTGGCAGGGTGCAAGGAAAGGAGAGTATAAGTTATAACTATACTAGAGGGTCTTTTGGGATCTAAAACCTTGGAAACAGTGGCAAGAATTGTATAGCAAAAGAAAGAAATTGAGGTAGACCTGATACAAGGTTGTCCTCAGGTCCAACATTTGCTACAGAGGAAGGGAAAATCCATGATTCGACATGCAGACTGGAGCCTTAAAAATGGCCCATAGTACAAGAAACTATGATAATCTGGGAATACCCAGCACCAGGACTGCTTGAGTTAGGGAAAATTTTAAGGAATGAAAGAGCCTCTCACAGCCTGGCTTATGAGACTGTCAGACATGTAAACATGTAGGATCAGTCTGAGTGCTTTGAAAGAAAGAGCAACCAAATAATATACCTATCCATCCAAAGATGCATAATGTGAAACAATCTAAGGGAGGGAAATCAGTCAATTATAGACTGGCTCATGTGGACCATTAGGGACAGACACTTGGTATTACAGGCTGAGATCTTCATGAACATCACTGACTAGATGACAACAGAAAAGTCAGGAGTTACTGAGGGAATGTCAGGGGTGATGTCTGCTGCCCAACTCATTGGGCCAGATATGACTATGTTCGCCAGAAAATCAAAAATTTAATTCAATATGGACTTTGGAACTTGTTAAGAAACTTTAGCGGCTTTGATGGGCCCCTTGGTGAGGTATGGATTGTGGGAGGTGGGAGGGGCTTTGGCTGATCTGAGTGACTTAGACTAACATATAAACTTGGCCTGTAAAGAGGTAAAACAATCCAGAGATTTTTTTTTTTTAAGACAAAGCAGAGAAAGGTATCTGTCTGGGTTATTGGAAGGCAAGTATAGCAAGATTTGTGTCAACCTAGCCTTCCCAAGGGGCAGGAGGAAGACAGGCAAACGCTATGCTCGAGAGCTTCCAGAAGGCTTTAAAGACTAAAGAGTAGTTCAGAGAAATCAAAAATGATTAAAAAAAAGATAAAGGTCATGGTGGTATTTCCCAGGGGTGGGCAGTTATTCCCTCCCTCCACCAGAGTAAGATATATACATTTCTTCTCTCCAAAAAAAAAAAAAAAAAAAAAGTATGCTAGGACAGAGATTGTCACCCAGCCTGAGGCCCTATCAGCAGCCAAATGTGGTTGATGGAGAACTCTGGGTTAGGATAGATTTTTGAGTTTCATGAAGAACTTGTGCTTAGGGAAATTAGGGAATGAAGGTGCCAAAATATACTCCAGATGCCTGCCTGTCAGACCCAGGGGGAAGCCCTGTCAAGACTATTTGGCCTGGGGAAGGAAATGCCTGGGTGCCTATCCCCAGCCCAAAGATAGCAAAATGGCTTACGTAGAATGATTCTTGATTATAGAGATAGAGGTTTTAGATTATACAGATTGTAGATTATAGATTGTAAAATATAAATATTATAGATTATATAAGTAGTACCTCCCATCCAGAGCACTGTACCAAACTTTGCCCTTTTGATAAAACAATTGATATAGGGGATGAGATCTTTTCACAATGTACTAAACCTTGCTAATGGTTTTTCTTGAACAGCCATTTAGGTGCTGACTCCTAGATCAACTGCTACTTGCTTAGTGGCACGAACAGTGGTGGGGCTTTCCGAGATCCTGCCTACTCTCTATAAAAAGATTTCATCGTATAAATTCAGTATAGTGCTAACCTCTGAATATTTCGAAGATCACCTGAAGGACAGTACACCTAAATGAGCAAGCATGGAAAATCAGTTCACATAAGGTGTAAAGGCAAGGCACAGATGTGATTCTTGGGAGCTTTTTGGTTTGGGTAAGGCACAGATTATACCCAAGAGTTTGTACCTATAAATATTAAAATGGTTGTTGAAGAATGAACAAGAGTACTCTGTGTTGAGGGGGAGAGATAGTCCTAGAAGCCATAAGGTTATTAATTGAAACTCTCAGTGCCAAGAGTGGGCTACCACCCTGACTTGCTGGCCAGGGAAGCCCAGAATACCTCCAAATGATAAAGGCTATAGCTGTTGGCTGTGTGCCACAACTTGATGGTAAGGACCCCCTCCCCCAATGCCAAAAACAATTTATGCAGGACATGAAGAAAACGAGCTGAGAATGAGCTGAAAGTCCTTTCCCATTTGGGTAGTTTTCATAATGACGGAAGGTGCATTACCCAGGCTTCTGGGAGAGAACTGTTAATCAGTACTCCCAGACTCTTAACCCTCTATGCTGTATTATTGACACTGTAAGCAAAATCTGTTAGCTGCTATGGTAGTAACAGAGAGTGTTATGGGTACACCCAGGAATTTTCCAATTGGATTTAAGGTCTGCTCCACAGGAGGGAAATTTGTATCTGGTACTATAAGCCAGAACAAAACTTGGGGCTAAAGGAATAAACAGTAACAGTGATGATTTTGCCCTGTTGGAAAAATCACTGTTACTGTTAAATATAATGTTCCTGTCCAGTGCCTTCTAAATGTGTGTATCTGCATATATAGATTATTGCAGCTTTCAGCTTTGATAAAGAAAGCTTGTTTTTGCAGTGAATAGATACTGTAGAGACATAATAGGTCAAGCTACTCAAAAGTAAGCTACTGTTGCTGTAGCATAGTGTAGCCAAATGGAAAAAAAAATAGTCATCCCCTCCAAGGCTCAAGGAACACATAAGAGGCTAGAGCAGAAAGACTCAAAGATATAGAAGGGGTGGAGTGTTACAGAATGATTTCCTCAAAGCATAACAGCTATAACCACCTTTATCAAAGCAGCTGACTCATTGCAAGACCCCCTCCAGAGTGGATCTGTTGTCATTCCCTCCTAAAGAAGGAAGTGGGGAGGACCATTAGAACCTCATCTGAGATTCTAGCCATGCCTTAAGATGTCTCTCAAAGCTATATGTAATTCTCATTGGCTCTGGAAGCATTAACAGAATAGTGTAGAGGTGATTCCATCTATGTGCTTTGAGGAAGTCATCATCCATTCTGACGTAAGACTTTTTGTTTCTGTGATGCTTTGGGGTCACTCACACTCTGTACCTAACCTCTCAGCCATGTTTGATAAGCCCACCAGAAAGACAAACCAAGCCCTTCACTGGCTGCAGGACACTGGAGGCAGGACTCAGACCCGGTTAGTCTCATCCAGGATTGCTACCCTGACACCCTTTTTTGCAGCTTCAGTAGCCCCATTCAGGCTAAGGACCACCTCATCTATCTAAAGGCAGGCATCTGGGCATTTCTTGGCACCCTCATTCCCTAATTTCCCTAGCACAACTTCTTCATGAAATTCAAATATTCTAACCGAGAGTTTTCTAACTTTTCAATCTGTTCTGGAATTTGACCACAATGGAAACAATGGTCATAGTCACAGGATCATTTGTTCCCTCATTCCTTAGAGGAAAGCCCCTAACGTGCCAATATGTAATGTTGTCGCTTTCATGATAACAATCCTGCTTTTCAACAGCAGTTCTCACTTTTTGTCACCTGCTTCATTGGCTTTAAGTACAAGTTCACAAAAAACATGAACTTTTTGTGGAGGACTTGGCAAACCTACACCTTTTAGAATTCTACTGAATCATTTTAGATCTGGGAGAGCCTTGAGATCATGTCCCTAAAAATACCTATAGTTTCAAGTAATCCTGATGCCCAGAAAGGGAAATTTCAACAGTTGTTTAGCCAGCAACTGTAATGTGCATGGCATGTGTTATGGAAAGATTCACCAGTTGTATTCCAGGCTTTCTCAACGCATTTTGTCTAGTTTGAGAAGTACATATGGACAAACAGCTAACATGCAAAATAGAGCAAGTCAGTAGAAACTGCTAGGAGTGTCCAAAAGGGGGTTTCTTCTCAAGAGATCAGTGACATTAGCATGGTGATATTGAAGCTGAAGCTTGAAGGTTTTGTAGCAGAAGAGATGTGGACTACAATGTCAGGGGCCTGGCTTCTAGGCAAAAAAAAAAAAAAAAAAAAAAAGCCAAGAATCCACACCGATCTTTCAAGAAATATCAGGCAGTAACTCTGCAAGAGCAGATCGTGACCAGTGTAGTGCTCAACAAATCCTGTCCCTCCCCCGTTCCAAGCCATTCCAAATGAAGTGGCTTATTCCTGAAGCTACTAAAGGTCGCAATCTGAGTATCACCCCCTGAGAAGCTGTCCCTATGCACTGTCTTCCAAGCAGATTTCCCATCCTGTGCAAGAGGATCTCCATATACTCTAATAAAACCCGTTATTTCCTTGTTTCCTTCTAGATCCCAGGCTCCTTCAGGACCGTTCCTCTTGCGTACCCTTGTCATTCTTTTCACCCAGAGGAAGGCCCATCAGTAAGTGCTCTGTAAGCAGAGAGGGTGGAGCAGGGATAGCAACAAAGAACTACACTGAGGAGTCATAAATATTCAACAAGTTTCTGCTGTAAGTCCTAGATGATGACCCAAGGAGCCAGATCGCCTTTGAGCTTGGGGGTAGGAAAATGTGCATCCAGATGGACAGGGGCAGAGCTGCTAGCTGGGGGAGCCTGTGGAAGGGGAAGGGTATGCTCAGAGCAAAATGAAATCCCCTGGGGAAGAATGGGGACAGGGCCTGTCATGTTCTAAGGGTCTTGGAATTTCCTGCAGGGGAAGTAAAGGCTGGCCTCTGACAGTTCTTAATTGCTGTTAAAGGATAGCCCTAGTTGGGCACCAGGGTTGTCACTTGTATATGGCACAGGGCAAGTGGCCAGTTATCTCTAGGTAGGACAGAAGAGTAAAAGAGAAGGGGAATAAGGAATAAGCTGAGCAAGATAAACTGGCTGAAGGTGAATGGAAAGAAATGCAATGGAGCAAGATTCCAGGGGAAGACGCAAGGTCAGAAAGTAGAGCATGACTGCAGGCAGGGGCCTAGACAGATTCCTGTCCCCAGGGTTGAGACAGACTGTTGCTCATTCATCTGATATACTGTCTGGGGTAACACTTGGGGACATGTGTGAAAAAGCAGTAGACTGCTCTGTGAGAAATGGCACATAAACAGGGCCCGGACGTTATCTTGAGGGAACAGGGTGCTGGGATGCTTAGGAGCACAGCTGCTTTAAGCTATAGGCTGTGTTAAGCCATGTGACCACACTGTGCCTCAGTGTCCTTACGTGGAAAACAGTGGTAATAAGGCATCTCCGTTACAGCTATTTTGGGCAATTGAAGAAGAAACACCCATGTGTGAATGGTAATGAGATGGCAATGCATAAAAGGGAAGGTCGGTTCTATAGCCATGTGGGAAGAGGGAGTGGCCCCGTGAGAGGCAGCATGAAATGAATGAGATTTGTTGTTGTTGTTGTTTTGAGACAATGTTTCTCTGTGTAGCCTTGGCTGCCCTAGACTCACGGTGTAAACCAGGCTGCCTCTGCCTCCCCAAGTGCGGGGATTACAGGCGTACACCACCACATCCAGCTCATGAATGAGGTTCATAAATACTGACAGATTAAGGCAGCTTCTAGGTAACTGAGAGGGCTAGTGGTTATTTCCAGGCCGAGAAAGAACATGAGCCAAAATCAGGTTGGGAGGGTGCCTTCAGGGAAAGCAAAAGGCTGGACAGGGTCTGCCGCAAAAGAAAAAAAAGAGCCAAGGTATGACAGACAGGCCATGACAAAAAGCCATGGGCCATGCAGGGGCACATCTCCTGGAGGTGGACAGCAAGGCAGGCAGCACACTTCTTGCCCCTGCTCCTCCGTGGCTGAGTGTTGCTGAACAAGGCAGGCAGGGAGGGATTGCCGTAGGGGGTAGTTCATGCAGTCTTATACATATGGAAAAACCACTAGAGGGAATCACCATGCCCAGTGGTGGTGATGGCATTCCATAACAAAAGTCCTTGGGGTGTCAATTTTGAAGTTCTAGCTTCTGACAAAGCGTGGGTATCAAAACCTCTGGGGAGGACTGAAGAGGTGTGGAGGCCAGTTTTGCTTTCTCTCATAACGGAAGCAGAGGCTTTTGAGGAAATGGAGGCAAGTGGAATCTGGGCTTTAGAAGTTATTTGCAACGACAATATAATGACCTAGAGGTGCCAAGGAAATTACTGAGTGGATAAAGTTTAGTGGAACTGAGGCCGTGGAAGCACAGCTGGAAACCAGGCCAAAAGACAAAACCCGCGAAGTGGCAAGACTAAGGGGACACCGTCCAGCCATGTGGAGAGTGAGGCCTCTAGGCCTATGCTCTGCTCTGCACTGACTTGCTGGCTACCCTGGAAAGGTGTCATTGCTCCCTTAGCTTCATTCATGGCCCCTCAACTTCTACACTTGCTTCAAGTGCAGATTTCACTTTCATGAGCTGATGTCTGGAAGCACTTTTCAAATTAGGAGAAAGTTGGGAATTTGTGCTAGCTTGAACAAGTATTTTCTTTGGTTGTGGCCATCATCCTGAGGATAGTTGCAGTTCTCCCTGTTAGAGACAAAGAGATTTAGTCCAGTTTGGCTGCAGTCAGTAGCAGACTTGATACAGAGACAAACCTCTGTTGACAGTCTGGCCCTGCACACTAGGACCTGTTTCCCTCTGGTGTTTCCAGGTTACTCAGTTGTTTTCTTGGTCTAAGGCTTACTTTTTCTCCAGCTGTCCTCTAGACAAGATGAGACATCAACTGTGAGAACAGAGTCGCAGCATAGTATGATTACAAGCCACCTGTTTATTTCCTTAGCACTCATCAAGTGAATTTCCTCAACCCCACAGAGCTCTTCAGGGGTCCCCTTTTGTTGGACTACCTTCTAACAAATGAGAATATAGGGAGGCAAGCTCTGTGCCTATCATGAAACCCCACAAATGAGGGCAATCATTCTTCCTAGGGTTCAGCCCACACACCTGAGGGGTGGCTCGACCATTGAGGTTTCAGTCTTGTTCCTTAATTATGGCAGTACCACCTCAGGTTTCTTCCCACAAGTTGCCTGCATGGCATCAGCCATGCTCAGAAAGAACTGCTTCAAGCACTTCTCCCAGCTTTTGAGAGCCATAAGGACAACTGCCACCCTCTCCAGGCTGGGCACATCCTACCTCCATTGTGGTGAAGTGGTAGCCAGCAGGCAGATTTCTCTCTCTCTGCTGTGCTGCCAGGCCTGGCCCCTGATTTTCCAACATGCATCTTTGTTATGGTAGCATCTTCCACCTCACATAACTTTTAGAAAAGTGTCACTGTTTTACCACCAAGAACACGGCCCCTAACCAGCTGACAATGTTAAGGGCAACTTCTAGGCCAGGCCAGAAGCCCCAATATACACTTTTGGCTTAGTTTTTAGCAAAGGATCCAGCACCACCCAGGGCCACACCCTTCTCAAGGACTGCTCCCCTATCCCCAGGCACCAGGAAACATTGGTCTGAGTTATTCTTCCTTGAGTTGGGCCCCAAACACCCTACTCAACCACTTCAAGAAGGTCTCTGAGCCATGGTTCATTGCAACTATCATTTATTAAAAAATATATGTCTCCTTGGAAGGAACACTGGTAAACCAATTATTATCATGCTTACTTTGAATCTTTGCTTTTCTTCCCTGGGAGGGAGGGCTGAGCATTGTTCAGACATGTCATTTACCATCAGAGAATCAATACTCCCTGCCCACCTCCCTCATAAGAGTCACAAATCATCTGTTGCTTTATCCCTCTTTGCCTTCAATCCAGTGTACTGCCCAAGAGAAAGCTGCTGCCTTTTCTCTTTCCTAATTCTGGGCCCCACACGTCACAGTTAGCCTCATTATGCTGGTAGGATACCTGTGAACAGAGTTCCTGAATGTGGCTGGTAGTGCTTTAAAAGTGTCATCAACACTGCAATGGTCCTAACCCAGTTAAGGGTCAAGCAATTCTACGTTCTCCCCTGTGTCATCCCTCCAGTGTGGAGGTGAGGGAGGCACGTTGGCTTCAAAGGAGCACAGTGGGGTGGGGTAGGGCCTGGACCACACCTGCTGCCTGCACTGGCCGAGGGAGGAAAACTATCTGGACCAGTCACTGCCATCAGACTCTGGGAAAAAAGCAACAAGATTTCACAGCTCACCAGTAAGCGAGTCTTAGCTCTACAGCTCAAATTTACAGCATTAAAGTCTACTTTCTTCTTGAAGAAACAGTAAGCTACCAGCTGTTGCTGAGGGGGGCTGGGGTAGGGCAAATGGAGCAGTTGCAAAATAAAAGAACCCAAATCCAACTCACTACATGGCTGGCCAAGCCTGGTGCTCTTCCACTGTCCTAGCACAGAGCTGGAAGGCAAGGACCTCCCCATCCCTGTCAGTGGTCCCATGAAGGAACCCCAGCTAAGTTCAGCTTGGTAACTCCGAGCTCCAGGTTCTACTCTCTGCCCTCACCAGCCCCCTGTTTTCCCTCTGTTGACTGGATGGCCAGGCCTAAGTTATCTGCTGTATCCCAGGCCTGGCTCCTTCAGAACCTCACAAGCCTTTAGAACACTGGCAAATAGGAATCTATGCATTCACTTAAATAGTAAAAGTAAAATTTGGAGTAATGAAAAGGCTGACACAGTAGCACAACATGGTTTTGGTTTAACAGCAGCTTAAAAATGAACAAAAAGGAAACCTCTCATGCAGACACATCAGGCGGCAGAAAACAATAGGCAATTTCATCCGGAGCATCATTAGCCATTCATTCTCTCTTCCTGCACAGGACTGACTGCCCTGCAGGGGCAGCAACTGCTTTCAGTCACGTCTCCAATCTCAAGCTCCCAGCTAAAGCCCCTTCTTTCATGCTGCAGGTTGGCCCCACCTGGAGCAAACCCTAGCTCTGAAGAGAATGACCAAATTCGAGTAAGTGCTTTGGTATAGCACTTAACTACTGTTGTTAACCCCTTCCCAACCAGGTGGAACATAAAATGTCATCTGATTGGAATATGAAAATTAAAGCATTTCTCTAATAACATTGATGGACATCTCCATAGATTTTCTAGTCCCAATGTATGTGAATATATATATATTATAGTAGAGTGTATAATATATATATATAATAATTTCTATATATTTTATATAAATTACATATATATATATCTATATATAAATAAGATACTTTCTGTCGCTGCTACGTTGCACCGTTCAGAGCTGCAAGCCAGCAGTACGGGGTAGAAATGCCCAGGAGCACTTCATCACATGGGCTATTTCGCTCACTTCACAAGCTGTGCAGTTGTCCAGAGTCTGTCTTTCCATCAGTCCTCCTCTCTTCTCTTCACTTCTGCTGGGTGTTTATGAAAACAACAACTCTGATGGATTTGCACCTGTGCTAGCGCTTGGGAACGGTCCATGCAGGAATGGGCACAGTCACATGATGAGTGAGATGGCATCATCCCAAAAAATAAACTAAAACAAAACAAAAAATTTTAAAAAAGAAC